TGCGTAGGCATTTTCCAGGCCTACGGCACTCTATTTTGGCTTCATTTTTTTTTTAATACTTTTTATGAAATAATTCTAATACACAGAAGAGTACAGAAATAACATATCAGACTTCATATGTTCACCACTGGCTCTATCAAAATCTAATATTATTTGCCATACTTTTCAGATTTTTTAAAAATAAAATATTACAGATACAATTGAAAGCTACTGGACACTCCTGTATGATATCGCTTATTTTCTTCTCTACTCCTTCTCCTTAGGTGATCACTATCTTGAATTTGGTATTTGTCATTCCCATGCATTTTGTTTGTTTGTTTGTTTGTTTTGAGACAGAGTCTTGCTCAATTGCCCAGGCTGGAGTGCCGTGGCACAATCTCCGTTCACTGCAACCTCTGCCTCCCAGGCTCAAGTGATTCTCCTGCCCTAGCCCCCTGAGTAGCTGGGACTACAGGTATGCGCCACCACACCTGGTTAATTTTTGTGTTTTTAGTAGAAACTGGGTTGTGTCATGTTGGCCAGACTGGTCTTGAACTCCGACCTCAGGTGATCCACCCACCTCCGCCTCCCAGGTTCCGGGTTCCTGGTGTTGAGCCACCATGCTTGGCCTCCAGGCATGCTTTTGCACTCTAACTGCATATATACTAATCCACACTTAGTGTTGTTCTGCATGTTTTCAAACTTTAAATAAATGACATCTTTAAATATTTTTTCATTCCACTCATCAAAATGCTTCCAAGATTAGGCAAAGTGATCCACACAACTCTATTTTAACCCATTATTATATGCTATTGTATGTGTGTAGCACAATTTATCTTCCCAGTCTCCCCTTGGTGTCCATGTAAGGTTTTTTCCCATTTTAAACAACGTTGTAACAAACATCTTTATACAGTAAGTCCTTATTTAATGCTGTGGATAAGTTCTTTGAAACTGTAACTTTAGGCAAAACAACAGATATGGTAAACAATTTTTTTCCCTCATCAAGCTCACAACTAAACATTGTTATTCGAGGACCTGCTGAAACGTACATGGTTTTGTTGAAAGTCCGCTTCCAAGAACCTATTAATGACTTTAAGAGAGGACTTACTGTTCTTGACTCCTTATGCACATGTCCAAGAGTGTCTCTAAAAAACTTCCTAGAAATGGACTTTGAAGCTGAAGGGTATCCACAGCTTCAAGTGTTTACTTTGCTAAACTGCTCTTCAAAGTGATTATACCAGTTTATATGGTATATGACAGTTCTCACTGCTGTCCAATCCTACAAACATTTGATATTGTTGGCTTAAACATTTTTGCCAATATGAAGAACATAAAGTGGAATCTCACTGATATTTTAATGGCCATTTCCACAATTTACAAGTAAGAACACCTATCTATTGGCCCATCAGGTTTCGTCATCTGTAAACTACTAATTTGTATCTTTTGCCTGTTTTTCTGTTATTTGTCTTTTTCTAAATGATCTTTCAGTTATATATGTCATATTCTACTCTGTGTTTTCATTTTGTTTATGATTTCTTTTTTGAACAGAGTTTCAAATTCTAGTGGGGTCACATTTTTAAGTATTTTCTATTATGGCTGGGTATGGTGGCTTATGTCCATTATCCCAGCACTTGAGAGGCCAAGGCAGGAGGATCACTTGAGCCCAGGAGTTTGAGACCAGCCTGGGCAAAACAGCGAGACCTCATCTGTACAAATAATAAAAATAGAATTAGTTGGGCATGGTAGGGGCAGGCCTATAGTCCCAACTTCTCAGGAGGCTGAGGCAGGAGAACTGCTTGAGCCTGAGAGGTCAGTGCTACAGCAAGCCATGATCACACTACTGCATTCCAGCCTGGGCAATATAGTGAGACCCTGCCTCAAGAAAAATTTCTATTATGTTTTGTGATTCTTATTTCTTTTTAAAGAAATTCTTCCTACCCCAACATTATATAGACAGCCTCTTATTTTCTCTTCTAAAAATTAAAAAAACATTGCTTTTCAAGTGCCGATCTTCATCTAGAACTTATTTTTGTGTATGGTACAGGTTAAGATTCTCCACATGGACCATCCATCATCCAAGAAACATTTATTGAATGCTTAACTCTTTCTTCACTGATTTATAATCCTTCCGTGATCAAGTATCAAGTTTCAGATTGATATAGGTTTATTTCTGGGCCCTCTACTCTATTTTGCTGTTCTATTTATCAATTTCTAAGCCAATACAATGTTGTTTTCATTTACTTTAAATCCATAATAAGTCATAATATCTGGTAGAGTAGATTCCTCTACTTCATTCTTCAAAAGTGCCATAGAAAATCCTAGGCTATTGCTCTACCACACAAATTTTAGAATCAGCTTGTCAAGTTCCAGAGAAAGTCCAGTTGGGATTTTGAATGGAACTGAATAGAATTTATAAATTAGTTCAGGATTTCAATTGCTCTAATGGGTTTTTGGACAATAAATATCTGGGCCAGAGCTTCCAGATAGCTGAAAACATGGAGGCTCCTGGAGAGTGGCATGCTCAGGAAAGGCATGGAAGCTCCATGCCCCTTTCCTCATACCTCGCTCTGTACATCTCTTCAATATAAATATATATATGTATTTAGTCATTATATATATATAATGAATTAATAAATATCTGGTGGCTGAAAGATCAGTTAAAATGTCTTACCTCTCAAAGCAACAATTAACTTATAAACTGCCATGCCTCCCATTTATGGACTTAGAAATTCTATTACTTAACATACATTATAAAAACCAAAGCCAGGTGCCATTGCTCACATCTGTAATCCTGTAACTAGACAGCTTAACTTCAAAATGCATTTTAAAACATTTTTTTCCGTTCTCTTGGGTTTCAAGATGTAGGCTTGAAGCAAACCAAAGAAGCCTTTGCCCTTAGTCTTAAAATAGACTCCATGTCCCCCGCCTTTCTCACTGTCTCACTGTTATACTCCCTTCACATTTATCTAAGTGCATGCTGGTATCTAATTATCTGCCTGCTTAGAAGTTCCAGGGGCTAAACTTGAATCTTCAGTCAGACAGACCAAGCCTGGAGACCCAGCTGCAAAATTCCAGAGATAACCTCAAGGTGGCCAGTCAACAACCCAGCCATTGTTGAGATGATGCCAGCCTGCTTCCACCAGGACTGGGACCCAAGACAGCCACCAGAACAAGAAACACAGACATTGTGCTCAGTATAATTTTTCCATATACTGTAGCCTGGGCAACAGAACAAGACCCTGTCTCTGAATTTAAAAAATGAATAAAATTTTTAAAGACTGAAAAAAAAAAAAAAAAATTGGACCAATTAAAATCCTGAAGCAATTTATAAATTCTATTCAGTTCCATTCAAAATACCAACTGGCCTTTCCCAGGAACTTGACAAGCTGATTCTAAAATTTGTAGGGCAGAGCAATAGCCTAGGATAGAATGAAGTAGAGGAATCTACTCTACCAGATATTATGACTTATTATGGATTTAAGGTAAATGAAAACAGCATTGTATTGGCTTACAAACTGATCAATAGAACAGCAAAACAGAGTAGAGGGCCCAGAAGTAAACCTATGTCAATCTGAAACTTGATATTTGATCTTGGAGGGATTATAAATCAGTGAAAAAAGAGTTTAGCATTCAATAAATGTTTCTTGGATGTTCTTTTTAAAACCTTGTCTTGCCCCTAAAATGCAAAGTAGTTGCATTGGATGGGAATCTAGACACTTTCCTATTACTAGTTTTGGCTAATAAAGTCACTTTCTTTCTACTAGACCTGGCTCTTGTTAAATGAACTCTGCATGTGGTGAGCAATCCAACTTGAGTTCAGTTACAATCCCTGCACTTTGAGAGGCTGAGGCAGGAAGGTCACTTAAGCCTAGGATTTTGAGACCAGCCTGGGCAACACAGTGAGACTCTGTTTCTTCAAAAAATTAAAAACTCAGCTGGGTGTGGTGGCACGTGTCTATAGTCCCAGCTACTTAGGAGGCTGAGGTGGGAGAGTTGCTTAAGCCTAGGAATTTGAGGCTGCAGTAAGCCATGAACACACCACTGCACTCTAGCCTGGGCAACAGAACAAGACTCTGTCTCTGAATTTAAAAAATAAATAAAATTTTAAAATATTAAAAAAAATAAGAACAAAAATTTCTGGAACTCTCTGCACCCTTATTTCCATTCTACATATCTATCATAAGATAAGAATCTTAACTATGAAAAAAAATAGCTGGATGCATAAAATGCACATTGGAGCATTACTTACAGTAGGAAAAAATGAAAATAACCTAAATATCAATGACATAGGACTAGTTAATTAAATTAGAAGAAATATACCCAGTGATACGCTATGATAGTGAGAAAACTACTGGCTCTAAAAACCATTTATAGCAATAATGAAAATGGTTACTTATGAAATATTATTAAGTAATAAAATTAGGATATTGATTGTTAGTGCAATGTGAATACAACTGTAGAAAAAAACCCTGGAATGCATGCACATGAAAATAAAATGTACTAAACTGTTTACAATAGGGGAATATGGAATCACAAATAGAATTCTCTCACCTATCCCACCTGTTAAAAAAATCTATTGTCTAAAGCGGCTACTTTTCTATCATAACAAAATACATTGTAAAAAAAAATAACATTAATAAAGTGAGTAGGACCCAGCTGTGTCTTCAGGGTCTCATTTAAAGTTCAAGGAGACAGTGCTTGTCGGAAGCAAAGGATTCAAGGCTGACACTCAGGGTTTCGGAACTAGCTCAATCACTGATTGTTTTAGAAGTTTTGGGAAAGATTATCACCCATTTTCTCCATGAAAAATATAAAAATATTTAGATGTGTGGATTAGTCAGGAAACCTTTATGAATGGGCATTCCCTAAGACAACTGAAATTTCATCTAAATCATACAAAACACAAAGACTGCCTATCTCATTTTCTTTCAAGTATGAATGAGAGTAAAGAGCAGGGAGTTTGCCATTTGGAACTGGAAAAAAAAATGCCAACAGCATCGTTTTCAGAGTTTGTACTTTACCTTAAAAACATGAAAGGCTTCAAACTGGATGTTGGGACTTTTATCCCGAAGGAGGTTCATCATGAGTTTCAGGTTCTCCGGCTTGCTGATGTACTTTGTCATGATGGCAAAGTTGTGACGGTCCAGGATCAGCTCCCCTAGCAGCTACAGGGAAACACAAAACCAAAGCTATAATCTCAGAGCCACCTGCTTCAAAATATAGCTCACATCTTCTCACTGAAAAACGAAACACAAACATGAGTAAGAATGGTGTCATGAAAAAAATTAGGGCGTCCTTAAGTGCATCTCAAAGCACAGGCTTAAAAGCAGTAGTTATTCACACTGTTTTGCTGATGTCAGTGCTTAGTACCTTTTTTTAGTCAGTCTTTGCTGCAGCTCACCTAGAGCTAGGCAGAAATATTTATGATTTTCAATACTTACTTACTTTAATTATCTTGCTTCCTACTAATGTATTGCTCTGTAGGCATTCAGGTAGAAGGAATAACAAAACTGGCACCATAATGGTAGCTTCTTTACCTGAATAAATGTATGCTAGGAGTTCATTATTAAGTCAGTTTGTTAAATGACTCTTACATTTCCCGACTTTTATTATAAAATCTGATATAAAGCCAAGAAAAATACTTGACCCCAAATCTGTATCAAATTTAGTAAGTGCAGCAAGTTTTTATTAAAAAGCAAAGCAAAACATTTTTGGTGACAAATTAATAGTTCCCCAAATGCAGCATTATCCTAAAACAAAATAAAAATACCAAAAGTAAGAAAAGTTGAAGACCTTCTAGCAACATGGCTGAATGTACTGTTGCTCTATCTCAGAAACTTTTTTTTCTCACTGTAATTCTGGAGAACAGACTGACAGCCCCTGGCTGCTGCAGAAATTCCTAAAGCTTCAGCAGCCAGGGGGCTGAAACATACCATAACATAATTTTATAGAGAAGATAGATTTAGTTTTCAATTGTTCTATTTACTAGACTTTTTCTGAAGGCCTCAGGAGAATAAAACATTGTTACATGGTTACAAAAATCCTGGATGGGAAGAAAAGCACATCAAACTGAAGGCCAGCTGTCTGTCACAAAGGAGTCCCAGATGTGTACAAGTGTCTGGCTGCCAGTAAACCACCACATTGCCTGTGATGTATCTTTTGTCCATTTAACAAGTAAGAAGTGCACCACTTGAGGTTATTTTAGTACATGAAAATAAGGTTTGTTAAACCTGAAAAAAGGATGACCACTGTTGGATGCTGGCTGGTGACTAGCTATTCTCATATACATGGAACAGCAACCATGTAGTCAAATTGTTAATCTGCATCCTCCTTAATCTTTCTGCAGCTTCTAAAACTAACCTAATACCTTTTGAAAACTTACTTTGCTCCTGATTTGTTACCTCGTGCAGATTGTTCCTTTGCTACCTCTTCCATGGCTCCCTTGCCTTTTGCACTACTTATGCAGTAATTTTCCAAGCTGTTTACGTGGAACTGCTGTCTTTCATCTCCCAACAGTCTCATCTATACCCATGGGTTCAACTGTAACATCTAGGAAGATGTCTCCCAAATCTACATTTCTAGTCTTAGCTTCTTTCCTAAACTCTAGACTCACATTTCTAACTGCCCACTGGGGAGGCCCACTTGAACACTGCTGGTCCTTCACACTTCACATCTCTAAAACCAACTCCCTTTCTTCTCTTTGCTAATGGCATCAGGAACTGCCCTCCTTCAGCTGAAAAGAGAGCTGAAGTCTTCCTTAGCATCTTTCTTTTCTTTACTCCTCACATCAAATCTCCATCCAATATCTACCAATTTTCGGTTTTTAAGTGTTTTTTGAACACCTTTCATTCAATGTTCACAGCCAGTAATCTCTTTCAAACCCTCACTACCTTTCAGCTGACCTACTGCCACAGCATGCAAAATGGTCTCTCCTTCAGTCTTCACCTAATCCAACCCATTCTGCACATTTTTTCAGAGAAATCTTCCCCAAAATCAGCTTTATTTGTTACCAATTCCACTTAGAAAGTGAATGCTTAAAGCAGCAAATTCCTAGATTCCCATAGATTTAGAAAAAAGGTAACCTCATTAAGATGGCATTCCCAGCCTCTGTGATGCGGAATCATTTCTCCTGCTTCCTGGCCTTGGCTCCCTTTCTCCATCTTCCCCAATCTCCTGTCTCTGTGGCTTTACCTCCCCAGCTCCAAAATCTTCCCCACTTTCACCTCTTGTCTGCCTGTCCAAACCTGGACAGAACTAGCTCAGACGTCATCTTTGGGAAAGCCTTTCCTCTTCTTTACAGTTGACTTTGCTTTGCCTTGCAGTACATTTGTGAGACTCCATAGGGGCTTATTCTCTAAACAGTCTCAAATCCCCTTACAACCTAACTGTGTGATGCGCATAGGTATTGCTGGGAAAATAAAAGTCCTACCCACATATCCAGAGCACAATACAGTTACTAATCTCTGAAAAAGAGACTGCATAACAGACAAAACTCTGCCTTATTACAGCCACACAGCTACAGTCCATTACATACATACATCCTCAAGATGCAGGGTAACCTGTCCACTAGAAGAGGACCTGACTACCATTTCTGTGCACTCTTTCATAGTTTGCCCTAATTCACCTAGCAATTGAGGTGACCATTTGTTTTAGCTATTTATCTGAATAATAAAACTTTCCTTATTTCTCTGACAAGCAAATAGTTGCAGCTTGGAAAAGGGCACATAGGTTAAACTCTCCTGGTGACAGGGAGATAGTATCATCTTCCTAGATGCTTATATTTCAAAAGCATGGCTTCCAGACCTTCCAAAAAGAAAAAACAAAAATTACAAGACTTCCAGGTTGTAAAGCTGTCAAGAGGCTTACTTATCTTCTAAAGATATATACAGAAAAAATCAAATACTGAATAGACATATACACACGTTAAAAGGCTTCAGCAAAAAGAAAATTTCATTTTTGAAAATTTACACACATATATTCAATAAACATTTGTTGAAGGTATATTTATGAGTTAAGTTTAGACTAGTTCACTTCAACTTTTATTACCTGGGGATACCTATATATAAATTCTATCCAATCTATCCTCTGCTAATAGAATTTCATAATTTTTCTGAAACAATTGTGCTAATTCAACACTAAATTTTTTAGCCATTAAATGTTAGTCTATTTTAATATTGACAATGACAAAATACTACATTCCAGAATAATACAAAGTATTATAAAGCAATACTGTACTAAGTAAATGAAAAACACACATATTTTACTTCATTAAATTTCTTATTTTGTATGCCTTATAGTACATAGTTAAGCCATGCAGCAAGTGGAAATAAGTTTTTTAGAATCTTAAGTGTTTTAATGAAATTGACCAGAGCCCAAAAAAGTCCCGTTTCCACCAAGCTTCTTTTGAATTATAATCCTTCTTGCTGGTAATTAAATGCCAGGCCTCTCTGCAGAAGATAAGAAAGAAATTCCTAAGCTCTGTCACATGATGGAAAGGAATTTCTCTGTTAATTATTTTTTTATTGACACCAGGAATTAAGCACCCCAAGACAGTGCAGGCAAATTTAGAATATGATTAACAAAAGGCAGCAGGTAGCAACTTCTTTGGAATCAGAAAATGGCCTAGTACTTAAGACAGTTTATTACTTACAAAGTCACTATATAATAATCTAACCTCTCTTGTTTCCTGCAATTATGAAACATCGATGTAAAACATTACAGAATCCATTTATATATAAGCACAGTTGTGTCAAAATAGAATATACTGCTACCACAGATCTAATTCCCAAAAGGAAAAGCCAAAATTGCATCAGTGGAGCTTCCAGAATGTTTTTCTAGTTAAAAAAAAAAAAAGCAAACAATATTTTTTTAATGAGTAAACAATCGTAATTTACGACCTTGATGTTTACATATGAACTTATTTCATGTCTACCTTTTGTTTGCTTGAACAAAGTGATGCAAAACCATTTTAGCAACATCTCTTCCTACAATCTAACATTTTTAAAAAGGCATCTCTCCAGTAACAATTATTTTAATACTTTCTGCATTCTTAGGTCATTTATCTGCATTTTTTAAGTGTCCCATCAGTGCTTGGTTTTACTATGCTATAAATCAGACATCCATGAGACACCTAACTGTAAAGATTTTAGGCAGGAATCACAGCCAAATTGTATATCTGGGCGAATTAATGAAAACCAGGAAAGATGTCTCGAGAGTAGGCTAGGGCATTTGTAATAAGTAGGAAAGATAAACAGCTTTCTTCCTCCTAATTTGGCTCAATCACCTTAGTTCATGCAAATCTCTCAATTTTGATCCAGTATCTGACAGACTCCCACTGAAAAACAGGAAGGATTTGGAGAATTTTCGAGCAACTTCCTATATGCTGGCCCTTCAGAGCATCGTCACCTCTGTTTACTACTCCAATTGCCATCTTCCTTTCAGGGCCACTACTCGTTTTACCACGGACAAGATTACTTCATTGTGGCTATCCTTGTGGAGCCCTACAAATAAAGAATTCTATTCTTTACGTATACAGCTGTATAAACAGGATACATCCATATTTTCATCTGCTCTTAGCAAGCTTTCTGGATATGGGAGAACACAGCACAGAGGTCACTGCCTCTGCCCAAAGGTCAGTTCCACACATAGTTTGGTCTCATCACTACTGGCTCCAGCCCAGGCAGGAGCATATCTGTGGACTTTTTTTCTAGATAGGCCTCCTGCTATGAGTTTCTACACAAAGGGGAAACTCAATAAAAAGTGATGGATGGCTGGCTAAAAAATGGCCTTCCCATTAATACCCAGTGAGGGCACAAATCCAAAAGAAACCAGGTCATGGCTGATGCAGGATTGTGGGCAAAGTAAATTGACAAAAATGTGATACAAAACAGACTGACTTTATTAGCTAAGCTTAAAATTAGACCCCAAATTTAGAAGCGAACACATTGTTCTATGAATGCCATCATCTTGGCATGTAAAAATAATACAAGTGTATGCCACTATATCCAAATCTAGAAAAAAAAGGAAAAAATAATAATACAAGTGTGACATTCAGCAAGCTGGACCATCACACCAGTTGCCACACTAAAAATAGTTTTATCATCTGCTGAAAACATTGTTTTTGTGGGATTCTGAGTGGGCTCTGCAGGGCAGAGATGCAGCGCTC